ATTTTATCCTTCTTGTTTACCTTTTCTTTTCTTCCTGTGGTCTTGAATTACTATATGGTCATATTTCCTTCTCCATAATCAGCTTTATTCCCACCTGCCACTTCTGTGCTATTATTGTTAAATATATTACATTTCTATATATTATCAGTCCACTACTATAACAATATATGTGTGTGGGTGCAGCTTTATATGTATAATACAATTGCTCTGTTTGCTAGTTTTCATGCTGGAGACTGAACCCAGGACCTTGTGTATGCTAAACACACATTTTACTTCTAAGGTAGACCTCCTACTCAATAATCACTTTTTAAAACATTTATGTTTACTGATTGCTACTTCTGTCAATTCACACTGAATGTTGCTTTTCTCACCACTTGTAATTTCAGCTGTATTTTTAAAATTTATTTATATATTTTACATCCCAGTTGCAGTTTCCCTTCCTTCCTTTCTTCCTATTCCATCCCCCTACATCACCCTTCTGTTCCCACCCCCAATCCACGCCTCCATTTCTGTGTAGGAAAGGGCACGTTTCCCATAATATCAACAAAACATGGCATATCAAGTTTCAGTAAGATTAAGCACTTCCCCATATATTAAGGCTAGGAAAGATGGGACCCAGTATTAGGAGTTGGGTCCTAAAAGCAGGTAAAAGAGTAAGAGACAGTCCCTGCTCCCACTGTTAGGAGTCCCACAAGAGGATCAAGCTACACAACTATATCATATATGCAGAGGGCCTGAGTCAATCCCATGCAGGCTTCCTTGTTGTTAGATCAGTTTCTGTGAGCCCCTATGGGCCCGGTTTAGTAGATTCTATGGGTTTTCTTGTGATGTCCTTGACCACTCTTTCTCCTCCCCCTCCTCTGGCTCCTAGAATCCTTCCTACCCACTCTTCTGCAGGGTTCCCCCAAACTCTGCCTAGTGTTTGGTTGTGGGTCTGCATCTGTTTCCCATGAGTTAATGGATGAAGTCTTTCTGATGACAATTGTGCTAGGCGCCAGTCTGGTCACAGGAAATGGCCAGTTCAGGCTATTTATCTGCTATTGCTAGGAGTCTAAGATTCCTTGTAGATTCTTGGGAGAGTCCCTTGCACCAGGTTTTTATCTGACCCTGAAATGACTTTCTCTTCCAGTAGTCTCTTTTAGTACTTTCCCTCTCCATTGCACCCTCAGTCCACTTACAAAATCTCTTCTATATCTCCTTCCTCAGGAGATCTAGGTGTCCCCCCATAAAACCTCCTTGTTACCTAGCCCCCCTGGGACTATCGATTGTAACATTATTACCCTTTATTTTATAGTTTATGTCCACTTATAAGTGAGTACATGCCATGTTTGTTTTTCTCAATCTGAGTTACCTCACTCAGGATGATTTCTTCTAGTTCCATCCATTTGCCTTCAAATTTCCTGGTGTCCTTGTTTTTAACAGCTGAGTAATACTCTATTGTGTAAATGTATCACATTTTCTTTATTCCTTCCTTGGTTGAGGGACATCTAGCTTGTTTTCAGGTTCTGGCTATTATGAATAAAACTGTTATGAACATAGTTAAACAAGTATTCTTGTGGTATGACTGAAAATACTTTGGGTATATGTCCAAGAGTGGTATAGCTGGATCTTATGGTAGATTGATTCCCAGTTTTCTGAGAAACCACTACACTGACTTCCAAATTGGCTATATAAGTTTACACTCCCACCAGCAATGAAGGAGTGTTCCCCTTGCTCTATATCCTCATCAGCATGAGCTGTCACTTGTGTATTTGATCTTAGCCATTCTGACAGGTGTAAGATGGAATCTCAGAATCTTTTTGATTTGCATTTCCTTGATGGAAATGTTGAACATTTCCTTAAGTGTTTCTCAGCCACTTGAGTTTCTTCTGTTGAGAATTCTCTGTTTAGATATGTACCCCATTTTAATTGGATTATTAGTTTTATGATGTCTATTTTTTTGAGTTCTTTATATATTTTGGAAATCAGCCATCTATCAGATGCAGGGATGCTGTTTTTTCCCATTGACATTTCCAGTTTCATGAGGTCCCATTTATTAATTGTTAATCTCAGTGTCTGTGCTACTGGTGCTCTATTCAGGAAGTTGTCTCCTGTGCCATTGAGTTCAAGGCTGCTTCCCACTTTCTCTCCTGTCAGGTTCAGTGTATCTGGGTTTATGTTGAGGTCTTTGATTCACTTAGACTTGAGTTTTATACATGGGGATAGATATGGATCAGTTTGCAGTCTTCTACATGCAGACCTCTGGTTACACCAGCAGCATTTGTTGAAGATGCTTTCTTTTTCTGCTACATAATTTTGACTTATTTGTCAAAAATCAGGCATGTAAATTTACATCTGGGTCTTTGATTAGACCCTGTCTGTTTTTATGCCAATACCATGGGGTTTTTATTTCTGAAGCTCTGTAGTAGAACTTAAGATCAGGGATGGTGATACGTCCAGAAGTTCTTTTATTGTACAGGATTGTTTTTGCTATACTGGATTTTTTTGTTTTTCCATATGAAGTTGAATATTCTTTCAATGTTTGTAAAGAATTGTTAACTATATTTTTAATTCTAGAATTTCCATTTGATTTCTTTTATAATTTATATGACTTTATTGATATATTTTTGATGAGCATTCTTATCATACCTTCCTTCTTTAAATGTGGCTTCCTTTAGTTATCTAAGTATATTTAAAAAAAGGTGTTTTGAAATATTGTCTAGTTTAACCTCTGGGCCTTTACAAAGTCATTTCTATTTTTTATGTGTATGAATGTGTACTACATAAGGCCATAATATTTCTCACCAGGTCCAAAAAAAGGCAAGCAGATATCTTGACATGCTTCTTGCCTGTGTACCACCATCAACACCCCCAGTCCACACCCAAGCATATATCCTGACTTATTTCCTGCCCATGTACCTCCCACCTACATGTGATCAAGCATACCTAGTACATTTGGGCCAAAAATACTTGTTTAGGGGAGTGAAAACATAAACAGTAGCCTCTAGCATTTAACTTTGGTTCTCACTGCAGCAGATAGGAAGGCAGAGTGGCAAGAGAATAAGCTTATCACATTACATTCACATTCAGGAAGCAGACAGTAAACAGGAAGTGGGGCTGGGCTATAAAACATTAAAGTCTATTCCCAGTGACACATTTCTTCCAGTGAGACTCCTCCTGATGAAGATTCTGAAACTTTTCCAAATAGCATCACCAACTGGGGACCAAGTGTTCAAACAAGTGAGCTTGTGAAATGGGAAACATTTCATATTCAAAGCACAGTTTTATTTTTGATAATTTTATATATGTGTAACAATGATCATATTTACCAACCGCCACTTATTTTTCCTTCCCTTCCAACTCCTGATAGCCACCTTCTCCTTCTCAGCTCATCTCCTTTCATGTAGTTTGTTTGTTTGTTTTGTTTTTTGAGACAGGGTTTCTCTGTGTAGCTCTGGCTTCCCTGGAACTTGCTGTGTAGACCAGGCTGGGCTTGAACCCATAGAGATCCACCTATCTCTGCTTCCTGAGTGCTGGGATTAAAAGTGTGCACCACTGCCACCCAGCCTTTTCATGTAGTGTTTAATACACACTTTGTATAGGTTTATCTCTCTTTTAAGCTCCAAAATGGACTTCTGTTGATGTACATCCTACTTGCCAGATAATTGTGCCCTCTCTTGGTCTTTCACTCTCTAGTGTTCTTGGTCATAAATTTCTGTACAGTGTGATCCACTTAAAATACTGCCTCCTTTGAATGGAAAAGGATGTTTATAATTGCCTCTTTACCAAATCTGTCTGTAAACTTCAAATTGGTCTAGTCTTCTTGTTCACCAACAAAACCTTCAAGATTTTTCACAGTGACCTTGGACTTGAATTTCTCTAGCCTCTGTTCTAATTAAAGTCATTCTCCTTAGGGCAAACTTCAGAGCTCATAATCTGCCTTTCACTGAGATGATCAGAACCACTGTTTTTGATCTGAGGGCAAATATAATAGTGCTTGATTTATATCATATATTCAGCTCTATGAGTGGAAGACTGTGCAAGACTTGTGGTCCTTGGCATTTTTGCCTTGTGTCTCCCAGCATAGAAACTGTCCCATAAGCTCACTGAGATCAGAACAATTGAGACCAAGTATTTTGCCTTGCCTTTGTCCTATATAGTCCTATAAATGCAGTCTGAGTAGAAGAATTTTGTGCTTGTTTATAGTAGAGCATTTATAATACAGATCTTAGGGGAGGAGAAGTCTAGCAGTCTTGGACTTCTTAGGAATCCCAGCCTGGGAACTTCGCCCTATCTGATTAAAACAGTGCTTCTGATTAAAACACTGGCATAAGGGTTAATTTAAACATGTCATGACTCATATGTTATAGGCTCTCACTGATACTTAGTAGGTTTCTGGGAGCAAATAAATACATATCCTTTGGGCATCTTCTGTGAATTTGTGTGATTGTATTTTGTTTTGCTTTATTGGGAGGAGAGAGAAGAAAGTTTCTGGGCATGGAACCAGTGCCTCATACATGCTAAGCAAGCTCTGTACTATTGAACCATACCCCAAGCCCTACATGATTATATTTCTATAATTTTCATCAGTTATTTTTGGAAGAGTCTATGGAGCTTGTACAACTATCCAGGGGAAATATTTTTTCTTATATTCTGTATTATGAAAGAATTTGATAATGATCGAGATTTTCTGTTAATCTGCATTTTGTTAGTAAAATAAGGAAAAGAACATTTGGAAGTTAGTATTTCTATACTTACTGCAAAGTATTTGGTTAAAAAATTATTTTCTATTATTTTATTATTAACTATTTTAGTGAATACAATTTGAAAATATATTAATTTGCATAAAGTTCTTCTTTGAGTAACACAGGAAATGAAATTTAATAATGGAAAATCAAAGTATAACATTATATACAGATACAAATTAATAAATATTGATGAGATACTGAAAGGGAAATGTGTAAATGACAGTCAGATTCTATTTAGATTAATTATCTGTTATTTATATATATATAGACCAGGTTGCTGAGAATGTCACTTGAACAGACCCGGAAATGCAAAATTGTCTGGAATCTCCTGAAACAAACAGGTACAATGGGAAGTGGGTTTGGTAGCACATTTACTAAGGGAGTTTATGCTGAGGATGTAGCTCAGTAATACAGAATCCCAGTACCACATAAAAACAGAGTTTATGATCTAAATAATAAAGTTACCAGAAATTTTGGCTACCAGAAACTTTCTACCCGAGGCCCCATAGATTGCCGAGGCCTCCTCACTGACACCCATGTTCAGGGGGTCTGCATCAGTCCCTCACCCTCCCTGGGGAGCAGAGGGGGGATGGGGTGGGGGCTTGGGAGGTTGTAGGTGGTTCGGGGAGGAGGGGAGGGAGAGGGAGCTGGGATTGACATTCGAAGCAAGCTTGTTACTAATTTAAAAAAAAACTAATTTCTAAAGAAAAAACACATCTGCCTACAGGCTGCTGTGCTCTCTGCTATGCTTCCTGTCATAATGATAATAGACTGAGCTGCCAGTCACCACCTCAATTAAATGTTTTCCTTATAAGAAAAAAACAGAAATTTTCACTGTACTTTATTACCAGCAAAATAATTCTTTTAAAAATTTTCTATACTGTATGTTAGAATTTTCACTCATTAGTACAGTGCTTGTAGTGAGAATAATACTTTCTAAGAAAGTATAGTATTAAACTTAAAAATAGGTCATTATTGTCTAACATAACATTATTACTCTTAGGTCTTTAGATTTCACTCTAATCAAATTTGCCAGTAGAATTCAAATTAAATATTATGTACTGCTAAAGTTTGTTATCAAAATTATTGTAAGCCTTTTGAAGTGATAGAATAGGTTGTTACTGTTTCCTTATTAGATATTGACTTTTAGATGTTTTTATACTGTGTCCATCTGTTCATGTTTTAGAATTGTTTTGAGTCGATGAATATTGAGTCGAATTATATGCCTTGTCAGACTCTAAGGAGATAATCATCTTTCTCTTTTAAACTATAACTATACTGAATTATAGTAATAGATTTCCTAGAATTAAATCATAATTGCTTTTCTGGAATAAAGCCTATTTGGCCATGGTGTGATGTTATTTTAATATGTGGATGAATTATGCTTCATAAGATTTAGAAATAATTGGCCTGTTGTTTTCTTTTTGTGCATACTCAATATCTTTGACAGATCTTAGTAAAGAGAGGTGAGCACAAAGATGAACATAAAATACCTGAGATTTAATTTGTTTTTCAATCTATGACAGCCATTTAATTAAATAAAAGCAACAAAAGTCAAGTTAGAAAAGATAAATAACATACCTAATATAGAAGATTTCATAAAATTCTAACGATGCCTGAAAACATGTGTTGCACCTTATAAACAGAAAACATATCTTGTTTTATGCATGCTTCTTTCAATATTACCTAACTAATGACAAGAAAAAATCTGAATATATTATAAGACATGTAAGTAAAATAAAAATTATCTGATAAAACAAAAAGTAGCAGTTAATAACTGAATTAGAAAAAAAACAGTACCTGAGTATTTTTTAAAACAAAATTAAAGAGTATTCTGAAAATACCTCATACTAGGATGATGAGGATGATAAGAAAGAATTTATGAAGAAGATAAAGATATAGACAGGAAAGAGAATATAGGTGAAGGTAGCACTGAAAGAGAATAATTTAAATGCCATTCAGAAATTGATGAAGATGAAGAGAAAGAAAGTAGGAAAGTGGAAAAAGGAAGCAAGAAAAAGATGTTGGGGAAAATGATTCAGACTCATATTATCTGCAAGATCAAAAACTGTTCAGTACCAGTGGGATTTCTTCAGGATTGTTTTAAAAATAGGACAGCACACTTACCCAGCCAAAGAGCCAAAGAATAGTTCCTGTGACATTCCATCTACCTTTGAGTCCTTGGGGGTAATCTATCACTTAGCTTGGGGTCCTCATCCCAAGAAAATTGTGAGTATTGTTACGTTTTAATATAAGATTTTTTTGAAGACTCCTGCTGTAGGATAGATAGCTGTGATTTCTGAGTCAAGTTACCATAGATACCAATTATTTTGAAGGGAAAAAAGAAAGAAAATACCTTATACTAGAATCCAAAAGGCAGGAGTAGTACTTAGAGCAAAAACATAGTCTTGATGATTTTAATTAACATAAGTATATCAGAATGCCAGCTGTCCCTCAAAAATCCTGTCTTCTATCCAGGAATACAACTAGATGATAGATAGATAGATAGATAGATAGATAGATAGATAGATAGATAGATAGATAGATCTAAGTAGCTATAGTCTAAGTGTGTGTGTGAACAGAGAGAGAGAGAGAGAGAGAGAGAGAGAGAGAGTGCTAAATGCACATATGCAAGGGATGGAGATAGAGCTCAGGGTAAAGTGTACCTAACATGTGAGGCCCTCTGTTTGATCCCTAACATTACAAAAACTATGTATACAATCATGCATCATACATACCTTGACAATGTAGTAGTTAAAAATGGATTGAGTATACAACAGGGAACTTACATTCCCTAGTGATAACATAGCTCTTTTATACAAGTATACTCATACAGTGTTTGCATAATACAGTGCATTTCTTTCCATCAATAGGTGATCTATGGCTCTTTGATGTATGTATATATTTGTATATATGTATATGCTTACATAAACAGTTACTGGGGAACTTCAAATGAATACCATACCGACATACTACTAGACACTTAAGTGACCAAATCCAAAACAAAACAAGACATATCAAGTTGAGGTAGGACTAAGCTCCTCCCCTCATATTAAGACTTGGTAAGGCAACCCAATATGAGGAATAGGTTCCCAAAACCCTGCCAAAGTGTCAGAAACAGACCCCATTCCCACTGCTCAGAGTGCCACAAGTAGACCAAGCTATACAACTGTCACACACATGGGCCTAGGTCAGTCCCATGCAGGATCCTTAGCTGTTGGTCCAGTGTCTGTGAGCTCTATGAGCCCAGCTTAGTTGTCTCTGTGGGTTCCCTTATGATGACCTTAGCACTCCCCTTCCTGCCCCACCAGCTCCTACAATCCTTCCTCTCTTCAACAGGATTCCCAGAGTTTGGCTCAGTGATCTCTGCATCTGTTTCCATCAATTACTGGGCAAAGCCTCTCTGATGACAATTGGGGTGGTCACTAATCTGATTACAGGAGATGGCCAGTTCAGGCTAACTATCCACTGTTGCTAGGAATCTTAGCTTGGGTCATCCTTGTAGATTCATGGGAATTTACCTAGTGCCAGGTTTCTACCTGGCCCTGAAATGCTCCCCCATCAAGACGTTTCTTTCATTACTCTCCCCCTCTATCCCTCCACCAAGCCAATCTTTGATGATTCCATCACCACCTGCTCCCAGTTTACCCAAGAGATCTCTTGTATTTCCCCTTCCCAGGGAAATTCATATGTCCCTCTTTGGGACCTCCTTGCTACCTAGCCTCTCTGGTTCTGTGGATTGTAGCATGGGTATCCTTTGCTTTACAGCTAATATTCACTTATAAGTGAGTACATACCGTGTTTGTCTTTCTGGGTCTGGATTACCTCGCTCAGGATGATTTTTTTCTAGTTTAATTCATCTACCTTCAAATTTCCCGATGTCATTGTTTTCAACAGCTGAGCAATACTCCATTGTGTAAATGTACCATGTTTTCTTTATCCATTCTTCAGTTGAGGGGCATGTAGGTTGTTTCCAGCTTCTGGCTATTATGAACAATACTGCTATGAACATAGTTGAACAAGTGCCCTTGTGGCAGGATGGAGTGCCCTTTGGGTCTAGGCCCAGTAATGATATAGCTGGGTCTTGAGATAGATTGATTCCCAGTTTTCTTAGAAACCACTACACAGACTTCCAAAGTGGCTGTGCAAAAAGTTTACACTTCCACCAGCAGTGGAGGAGTGTTCCCCTTGCTCTATATCTTCAGCAACATGAGCTGTCACTTGTGTTTTTGATCTTAGCCATTCTGACAGTATAAGATGGAATCTCAGAATCTTTTTTTATTTGCATTTCCGTGATGGCTAAGGATGTTAAACATTTCCTTAATAGTTTCTCAGCCATTTGAGTTTCTTCTGTTGAGAATTCTCTGTTTAGATCTGTACCCATTTTTAATTGGATTGTTTTTGGGTTTTTATGTCTACTTTTCTTGAGTTCTTTATCTATTTTGGAAATCAGCCCTCTATCAGATGTGGGGTTGGTGAAGATCTTTTTACATTCTGTAGGCTGCTGGGTTTTTACTATTGACAGTGTCCTTTGCCTTACAGAAACTTTTCAGTTTCATGAGGTCCCATTTATTAATTGTCAATCTCAGTGTCTATGCTACTGGTGTAATGTTCAGGAAGTTGTCTCTTGAGCCAGTGCTTTCAAGGCCACTTCCCACTTTCTCTTCTATCAGGCTCAGTCTTACAATCTCTTTTAAGACCCTGTAAGTGAGTTCAGTTCCCTGAGAGACTTTTGTGAGCCCTTGCTTCATGAAGGTAAAGGAAGTTCAACCTTATTCTTAAACAGAGCTTATCATAACCATCATGTCTGATTTATATATATATGAATGATACTGTAGGTGAGACCTTAGTTGTACACTCTGTGTTTTCACTTATATCCTGGTGGAAAAGAGAAACAACATCTTTTTTAATTTAAATAACTTTTTTTTCATTTATTAGAGAGGCAGCTTCTTACAGAGCATTGCAATTACCTATATTGTCATGAAAAGTAGGGCGACTACCCTAGCTAGTTTATTGTCAGCTTGACACAAGCTAGAGTTATCTTCGAAAAGGGAAGCACAATTGAGAAAACATCTCTATAAAACTGGCCTATGGCAAGCCCGTGGGGGCATTTTCTCAAGTAGTGATTGATATGGAAGGACCCATTGTGAATGTTGCATCCCTGGACAGGTGGTCTTGGATGGTATAAGAAAGCAAGGTGCACAAAGCCATTTAGGAGCAAGCCAGTAAGGAGTGATCCTTTGTGGTCTCTGTTTCCATTCCTGCCTTGAGTTCCTGTCTTGACTTCCTTTGATGGTGTATTGTGATGTGGAAGTATAAGCAGAATGAACCCTTTTGATAT